ACAGCAGTGTACACTTGGGGATTTTTTTAAATTTTTTTTTTTTTTACAGATACATCACATTTATAAAGGATTGCATCTTTAACTTGTTTTGCTAGATCTGTTCTCACATGTACATGACCAAATTTCTCTACTGTTCAGTAGGGAAAATGAAGCAGTGGATATAATTGCATAATGACAGATATGAGAGGAACAGAGAATCCCAGCAATCATTTCCTGTGAGTTGGCCAGCTTCCAGGATGTCTCAATGGGCCCGCTGATGTAAAGGCAAAATGAAAATAGTTCATTCTGAAGGGTAGTTGTTGGTTGGGGTTTTTTTTCCATCTCTTGTTTGACTTTGCAGACTAAGGTATTGGAACAATTAGTTGGCAGTATGGTGTTAGTTTTCTCATGGTAAATTAAGAAGATTAACCAAATGTGGAAATGTATTTTAGCTATAATCAGCAGATTTGAAACTGTAATACTATGGCATCCTCTGAGGTTATGTTAATATTATTCACATTATTCCACTCTATAATGTGCAAGCTTTTCCAGAGTTACCTTATGTCAGTGTTTATTCAAAGACAGCAGAATTATTAGATTTATTTTTGTTAGTTTTGTAACAAAGAAATGTAGAGGATCAGCGTGCTAGCTGTTGCATCACTCCACTTGGCATGTAGTGTTTGCATGGATAACAGAATTATTATAAAATCCTTAATCTCTTTTTTTGTTATTATTATTATTGTTATTAATTTTCCTACAGTAAATTGAGTAGTGAAGCATATTTTACATAATTATGGCAGAAGTACACAACTTGACGGGTGGTAGTGAAGGAGCAAAGTAATATAAATATTTGCAGAACATTTCTGCCATAAGTTAATGCTTTGCACATGAATCTTTATAAAGATCCTAAGTTAGTTGAAAGGAATGATTCCAGAGGACTACATAGGTCCAGGCATTTTAGGAGCTGTGAATGATGACTGCAGAGCATCTCTGGGAGTTTTTGGCTTGTCATACAAAAACAGAAAAGAGAAGGAGGAAAACTTAGCAGGAAGAAGTTAACAAATGCTTTGGGAACGGAGGAGGGGAAGACATAAGCTTTCCATGTACAAATCTTAGGCTAGACTCACCTAGTCATTCATTTTTGATTGCTGTTTATCTTTGGCTTTCTGCATTTCACTGGAGACATTTGCTTAGCAAATGATTGCAGCAGCTTTAAGTTGCTGCTGCAAGCACGTATCTGCTGCTGCTTTAAGCCCCAAAGCAGAGCTGATGGAAGGGGATGGAGAAACAAGTCTCAGTTACTCCATGCAACATCTGTTGGTTTAATTGAGCTGCTGCAGGAGATTCAAGCTAAGCTACCAGCTGTGGCACAGAAAGGTCTGAGGCACACAAACACATGGATCCATGCAAGCCAGCTGTGTGAAAGAGCAAAAAAGGACAGCATGGGCAGTAACTTCTTAAGCTACTATCAGTAGATTTTCAGGTTACACATGCTGACACTCCCATTTTCCCTGAAAGTATTATTTCTAAACAATACCAAGTGCATTTTGCTTTCCAGGGATTGATCCAAAAGTGCAGAGGATCATCTCAGCCTGTCTGACTGAAATACAAATCTTCAGTAAAAACATGTTATCACTTGTAGTTCCTCCTGAAGATTTCAAACTGGATGCACTGAAGTTGCAAGGTCAACACGTTTAGAAGCAAAACACAGCTAGCTGCATAAGCTTTATATGTAAGCCACAGGATATTTTGCTCCTTACTTGCCAATTCAGCCGATTTTAAAAGAGAATCCCACAATTTTAATTTTCTGCTTTGGACTTGACTGCTAAACTGATTCTGTCATAATAAAATACATCTGCATAAATAGCAGTGTTTCTACAGGGACTTTCAGTATTTGTTTCAGATATCACTTTGCCAGAAATTAGGGGGAGAAATCTAGTACTGTATTTCCTATGAAAATTTCACAAAAGTGTCAAATACATTTGTGAAAGTTTGAAATGATGAGCCTGCAAACATTTTTTTTTTTTTCCTGGTTGGCCATTTAGCTGAAAGTCAGCTCCCATCACAAAAGCATTTCTGAGAAGTACTTGAGGATTTTAGAGTCTATGTGTATATATACCGTTGTGAAAATGTTCTGGTTGGAAGGGCATGCTTTTTTTGGGGGGGCAGTGTTTTACCATTTCCCTGATTTTTAAGTTGGTGGCTGTGTGTCCTAGCTTATATCCAATCAGAGGACTGAGCAGTATCTCAGGTAGCTCACAAACAGAATGTTTGACACAAACCAAGCAAGTGAAAACAAATACAAGGGGTTCTGATGGAAGGACGGGCCACATCAATTAATGATAGGCAGGTAACTGTCTCCTTTGAAGAATTACTCCTAAATAACTTCCCTGCTAAAAGAGCAATTGCTAAATGAGTGTTTTTCCTTACTATGTTCCAGGGTTGAAAAATGCAGCCATCACTCATTAGCCCAAAGTCCAGGTCAGCTAGACAGCGTGAAAAAATACCTGGCGCTCAAAGCTCACATTTAGCCTCAAAGCCGTGCCCTGCCACTCAAAAGGAACAAAACAGTCCTGCACTGTTTGTGACCTTCCTTTTGCTGTAACATAGTGTCAATCACATTGGGCTTTAATCCTTTCCAAATTATAACATGTATCTCTTGTGCTTTGTTCCCCTCCTGATTTTCTTTCTTCTTTTATTCCTGACAAAAGAGGACACTATCTCTCTCATATTATATTCAGTATTTTAACCGAAATTTGTGGTGCTTGTGACATTTTCTTCATTTTTCTTGCTTTCTTGGCACTGTTTCTGTGCCTTTGCCCTACCAGTGTTTAGTCTCGGATTTCTTTTCTGGGCTTTTCTCTCCAAAATATTTCTTTCTTTTGATGTCACAATTTCTAATGTATCACTGCAGTTCTCACTTTCTACCTACCAAGCAGGTGGTTAGACAGAAGGGGAGAATGTCTCTCATGATCCAAGGCTTGTGATGGTCCAAAGATTTTGCAGTGTGAATTAAAGTTCCAAGTCCCCAGGTTCTCTCTAACTATGGTATCTAAGATGTAGTGCTCTCAGTCTTCCTGCCTATACCTTTTCCCTGAGAGAGTTGAATTTTGAAATTTTTATCTGCTCCTTTGAGAAGATGAGCTTCTACTCATTCCTTTAGTTTTGTGGTTACTAAAAAAATCGTTTCTTTTTCACAGATTTCTATTTTGAGTCCTCTTCTCCAGCAGCTTGTTACAGTTGTCATTCATAGTTTCTAAACTGGGGAAAGAGAAATCACTGAGCAGTAGAAGAGTAACTGAAGTGGGAAACTGATGAATTCAGGAGGGCGTTGCTTCTTTAGCTTACACTCAGCTCATATTTGAATTGTTAATATGGTATACATTTGGATGGGTATTTATTCCAGGTTTTAAACAGAAAAATAGTAAAATTACGTGAATTTGATAACTTGCTGAAGGAGCTTCTGACTCTTTTTCCAGCCAAGTTGATTTTTAAAGCCTGGCAACGTATGCTCACACTTGCAGTTTTAGCTGTCTGTACATCCAATGCATTTTGTCTGCCTGAGAAGGAAATTCACCCTGTGATGGTTAAATATGAGAAAATGTAGTATTGTCTCCCCTGTGCTGGTTGTCACTCCTACCTCTCTAGCACAAGCTACCTATGCATAAGATACAGAAGAGTGTGCATTACAGTAAGAATATGTTGTACAAGTGCAAAAGACCACACCTTGTTCTTCAAAACATTTCAAGTTTCTGGGGCAGTTTTTGTAAACCAATGTTTTTAAAAATCTTGAATCCACAGCCACCATGTGAGGCCACATAGGCTTCTTCAGCTTTTTTCTTATCTGAGGTTGTTGACCTCTGGAGAGGAGGAGAAGGTTACAGGGTCAAAGTCTTTTCCTCCTTGGAGCTTGCTGCTTGCTGGGAGAGGGTTGGCTGGAAAATAGATGTTTTAGAAAAAGGGGTTGAGGGTCATGATTTTAATTCTGTTAGGGAACAGCTGGTTTGAGTTTCTTTCCACTTCTATCTTCCCTCCCTTCCTCACAAATCCATGGAGAGAGAAAAATTTGTTCAGAGAAAAGCAACACAAAAAAAAAAGAATTGCAGCATTTTCATCTTTAAAATAGATCATATTTATTGTAGACTTCACATTAGGGGAGAAAAGAGGAAATTATTAAAATAATTTAAATCCATTATTGTTACAAGCATTGAATTGATATTGATCTAGAGTGTCAGAGGTTTATTTGTTTTCCTGCCAACAGTTAAAATGTTAATAGTAATGTTTTAGTGGGGCTTTTTGTGGATAAACAATATGCATTGCAATTTTCAATTTAGTGATGGACAAAGCTAATTTTTAATGTATTGCATTAGTTTGCAGACAAGCTGCTGAAGAAAGATGGTTTGATTTGGTTATTTCTGTTCAGATTTTCTTCATCTTGGCATGCTGCTTTCATGCACTAAGAGCAAAGGGAGAGAATGAAACTCACAACTCTCAAATGAATGGCAAACTAGGAACAGATTTTTCATCTGCACTCCTCTGAAACACTGGCCTCAGGCTGTGTTGGTGTGTGGCTCAACAGCAATCAGAGGTCATAATTTCATTGGCGGTTAGCATCAGGTTTAATTTTTCTAATATGTTACATTTACCAAAATGTCTGGTTTCAGTTACACTTATGCACTGACTGAATCAGCTTTGAGCAGCATGATGTTTTAAGGTACCTGAAAGGCTACAGGAACGTTTATGGAACACATATGCTAATTGTTTTTAACCACTTTCCTTTCTAAACACAAAAACGTGTTTTTGGAAAGCCATTTAACAGTAGTAGCTAATGACGGTGTGCATTTATTCTAAGAAACGAGCGCAAGGAATAGGTAAAATAGTTGTTTTAACAAGACTGCCATCTACTGATTTCCACAATTAAAAATATCCCTGATGACTAGATTGTTCATAGATTTTTTTTATAGCTTTGTTTTCAAGATTTACAAAATCAAGAAAATTATAAAATCTTTCTGTCACCTTAGGAATGCGACCAGGTTCACATTGACGACGTGTCTTCGGATGACAACGGTCAAGATTTAAGGTACAAGAGAACTCATTAAGATAAAAAGTTGCTTTGCAAATTCCTTCCTGGGCAAGCGATGGGCTGCTGGAATGCTCACAGTAGCCAGCTGTCTTTTAACTGTCTCCTTTGCAACCCAGCCCAGTGAGTGGCTGGTGGTTCAGTGTAGCCTGTTGCCTCTTATTAATCTGTGGGGTTTTTTTATCTCTGCCTAGCACATACAACTTCGGAACAGACGGCTTTCCCGCGGCTGCCACCAGTGCCAATCTGTGCCTGGCGACCGGCGTGCGCGGAGGGGTGGACTGGATGCGGAAACTGGCCTTCCGCTACAGACGAGTAAAAGAAATATACAACACCTACAAAAATAACGTTGGAGGCAAGTGATCTGGAGTATCTAACACAGACTAGGGGCTGTAAATGGGAAGGACTGGTTTCTACACCTTTTTTTTAACGCAGCAGTGTTTGGTGAGCTGTTTAGTTTGCTGTGTGCAGGAAATTGTCTGAGCTAGTGAAAGCAAAGGGAAATGACAGAGCACTACTTAATACCAGTGCAGACATGCCCTTGTCTACTCCACAGGTCTACTTGGTCCAGCAAAAAGAGAGGCTTGGTTACAACTAAGAGCAGAAATTGAAGCTTTGACAGATTCTTGGTTAACACTTGCACTGAAAGCACTCACCCTCATTCATTCGAGGTGAGTATTAAGAGTACGAAGGAAGCTCTAAGGTTCATTCGAGGTGAGTATTAAGAGTACGAAGGAAGCTCTAAGGTGTCTGATGATGGTCTGGAAGAGGATGTCTGGTGTGGTGGGAAAAATGGTGAAGCTGGAGGACCTCATCCTCATTCCTTATCCTGATCTGACCGTGCCACACCTTGCTTCTTGGTATGGTGATAAAAAATAGATGATCTTTCAAATGGCAGTAATAATATTGAGGGGTTCTGATAGGAGGGGTATGATTTTCCTTCCGTGTTTTTGTTTTGTGTTTTTTTCTGTTTTGCTTGGTTAAAAAAGGATATTTGCATTTTCTCTTCCATAGGACAAACTGTGTGAACATTCTCGTAACGACTACTCAGCTAATTCCAGCTCTGGCAAAAGTCTTGTTGTATGGACTAGGAGTTGTATTTCCCATAGAGAATATTTACAGTGCAACTAAAATAGGTGAGCTATTTTCATCATGTTGTGATTCATTTCCAGTTTTATTTCTAAATATGTATGGTATTGTAGCCTATATTTAATTCTAACTTGCTTTCACAGTAGCAAATACAGAGTTTAGTAACACCTGATCTTCATGAAACATTGCTAAAGCATCCTAAAAGTGCTTTTCAAATGTGTGATGATCCAGCACAGAAAGCTTTGTACAGCTCTATTAACAGTGTTACAGGCTCTGATAGGAAGAAATGTAGTTGCTTTTATTTTTCATCATTTCTCAGAACTGTGGGGCTGTGTAGCAGTTGAGAAGGGTTTTTAATAGGCAGTAAGTACAGAACACTGGAGTCTCCCTGGAGCAGCAGTAAGAGAAATTCTGTAAAGGTAATCCCTGGCTTCATTTGTTTTCATGGGCTCTGGAGAAGATTTTGGTAGACAATTTACCAGAAGCAAGAATGTTTTGCTGCAGAATGTAGTTATTTAAGTTTCTTCATACTGACTGTAATAATCTTCAGCCAGGCAAATGTTTATTTCTGTTTTCTGGTTCAGTATAAAAGATGTTATTCTGAGTATGCAGAAGTACCCCAGACCAGATGGCAACAGTGTTTGTAGTTTTTAATGTGATTATGACATATCTGTTCTGTCTCAGATTCCCTCATAATTGTGGTCTACACAAAAAACACATTTTTCATGTGTTCTTAAGTATCTATAATACAGCAAGCTCAAATTGTCAAGAAATAATTATGGGATTTTTTTTATTTTTTTGAAACAGGACAAAACAAAAATTGGTTCAGAGTTTTAAATAGAAATTTGAAAGCATTCCCATAAAATATTTAAAACTGTTTCTTGAATATTAAAATTACAGTGCCCTCTGTCAAAACTCTATAGTAATTTATAACTTCGAAATATAATACTTTAAATACACATTTTAATTAAAACATATTTTAATAAATCTTTACTTGTGCCTTCATGTACATGTAATAGAGGAGTGTTTTTGCAAAAATGTGTTCTGTCACTGACTGTCACAGGAAACCATGAGATTTTTGTAACATGACATGATTCCTAATATTTAAACACTGTTTCAAGTTAGTGTTGGATGTTTCTTATGCCTGGTGCTACTGGTATCAGTAAGTAGTTTGGTTTCTGTAATGGCTAGAAAACTTCATTTAATTTCCAGCCTACTTTTTCTTACACGTTTATTATTCTTTAGCTTGAAATAACGATTTTTAAAAGCACAATTTTTCCCAACCATTGCTGTAGATACACAGATTAGCATGTCCCATGGCCAGACTCAAGTGACCTTTCAGAATGGGGACATTTGAGAAAACCCAGCTTTAAGCATTTGCTTTCTTTCTGTCTTCTCAGTACAGTACCTGAAGCTTCCCAGTATGGGTACAAATTGAAAGAAGAAATTTAGGTTATCTATTAATTCTTTATTCTAAGGGTGGTGAGACACTGAAACAGGTTGCCCAGGGAGGTTGTGGATGCCCCAGCCCTGGCAGTGTTCAAGGCCAGATTGGGTAAGGCCTTGGATAACCTGTTGTAGTGGGAGTGTCCCTCCCACTATGGCACATGCCAGGGTAAGTTGGGGCCAGATGATCTTTAAGGTCCCTTTCAATCCTTAACATTTCTGTGGTTCTGTGGTACTTGTTCATGGGGCTGGAGCACTGAGATCATTTCCCTGGGTGTGTACAGGACCCATATGAATGGATCCCAGTGCAAGATCAAGGACATGGCCCATGATCTTTTGGGTGACCTTCTAAGTCAGGGTACCACTGTTTTAGGAGCTGTGATTAATCATGTCACAGGTTTCGGAGAAAAAGCTAGAATTTCAACTCAGCTTCAATCAACTTACTCAAATGAGGCTACTGGTCATAAACAAATGGAAGATAATTCTCCTGATGGTGAAATTCCCCACAAAACCTGTGTCACATTAAGGAATGAGACAAGAAAGGTCATACTGTGGACCTCTAGTATGCTGGCTATGCTGCATTCAGCTTTGATACACCTTTCTGAGGCTCTTCTTGTCTTGTAGCTCTACTTAAGAATTCCAAGGGTCGGGGAGATCCAAGCAAAAAAGTTATTTATTTGATGACATCACATCACCACCTACCCTGAATAGCCTGATCTTTTTCTTTCAGGAAAGGAAAGTTGTTTTGAGCGAATAATTCAAAGATTTGGAAGAAAAGTAGTGTATGTTGTTATAGGGGATGGTGTTGAAGAAGAACAAGGCGCAAAAAAGGTAATCACCTTCTTTTGGTGAGGGTTGGTTTCAAGAGTCTGGAAAATTGTCTTTTCCTCAACATAGGACAGCATGCATTGACATTTAGGTTGGATATATTTGCCTTACAAAATCTGTATTGATCATATCTAGTGGAAATAGATAATTATAGATAATGATTTGCCCTGCTGTCTCCAAAAGACACATTAAATTATGTATGTTTGATGTACTTCAAAAAGGGGCCAGAAAATGGTCCCTGGCTTTTATGCCAAGAACTAATATTTCTGTTTTCCTTGGCAACCCAAAATACCACATAGGATGTTATGAATGTAAGCAAAATATGGTGATTCTTAGTGATCAAAGGCAGTGTCCTGTTTGACTGTATGAAATACATATATATCACACCTTAAAAAGATATGTAGGACTGGAGTAAGTAGGAATTTCCATTTTCTTTGTGTCCATAATTTGGATTCTTCATTCAGACAACAACCTGTGGCTTGGCATGCATTCATAATCTCAGATAACTGAACAGAGGATACTATTTGACTGTCTATTATTTTTTGCTTTCCACTGAGAAGGAGAATTATTTTTTTTTTCATTAGGAATTAAGCTGTATAAAAAAGCAACACTTCCCATTCACAAATAATAGGCATTATCTCTAGCCTTGCTAGAAAAACTGCTGCAGATACACATTCTTTGCTTGGAGGAATGAGGCATAACCTTGGCTATTTGAATAGAGCAGGAAAATGGGCATTTTTGTTCCTGCTTCCTTTCACAGATAAATTGCTTTTACACAGCTGCTTTTTCACCACAAAACTCTCTGTGATACTTCTATCTCTTTTCACTGTGACTTTCTAAATTGGAGAAGTGAAACTAATTAGTCCACATGGCGTTTTAACAACCATTGACTGGTTTTGCTTCATGAAATCTGGGTTTTGTGCCCCTGAAGCCTCGCGGGTAGGTTCCCGGCTCGTCCCAGCACTTTGCCGAGTCTCAGTTTCATATATCCCTTTGGCGGACTGACGGGAACAGTTTGCTCCTTTCTCCTTCAGAAATGCCTTTCATCTTTGCAGAGAAATGTTTTCCCGCTGCAAATGATTACATTTTAAAAGCTGTATTTAAGATCAGGGGGAAGAAAAAAAAAAAATTCCTTCTCTTTGTTCCTTTTCTGTTGCTTGGTGAAATAGTGTCGTATATGATAATGGCAAGAGTAGTCCTTTTGGTAACATTATCTATTCCAATGCTTTTTTCAACAGGAAACATGATTCAGAAAAGCATAAGAGAAAGCCTTTCCAGTTGCTAAGAGAAGTAGCAGTATAGAAAGTTCCTTTGTGCAATTACTTGTGTGTATTCTTTCCTGGTGGAAGGAATTTTCAGGTTGAAAGCATGTTAGATGCTCTGGATTAAATTATCTGCTGCAGTGATGCCAGAGAAGTCAATAAGTAGATCAGCAGCCCTGCCTTTCTGCATAAACTATCAATTTGATTTAGGAAAGTGCTTCTGTGATTCTTGATCTGCTTCTTACTCCACCAAACAAGAAATCACCATTTCACACTGTGAATGCAGGATCTGCCTTTTTAGATTTTTTCCTTCACATCCTGCAAGAGCACAAACCTTCTCTGGAGAGCACACAAACAGAACAGAAGCTTTACCTCCACAAAACTACCCAAAGCATATCAATTCAGAGTGTCATAACTGCCCTGTGATGTACCCCACTGTCATGTTTATCCCCTGAATCTTGGTAGCTGGTTTCTTCTCGCCTTGCTTCCTGTCAGCATTTCAGGTTTTGTGGTACTCTCCAGAGAAGGGACAGGTCTTCTGTTCCCCCTTTGCACAGCACTTTTCTGTAGGGCTTTGGTTTCTGCTGGAGCCATTAGTATATGTAGCACACCCTTCTTTAGATAGCACTTCATTGTTTACATGTAAACTGTAATGAGTCTTTTCCAGTGAGCTTATTTAATTCAAGCCTATTTAATTAGAGAGACTTTTTTTTTTATTCTGTGTTCATTCAGTGGATAAAAAAAAAGCTGAACTTCCAGCTTAGGGGGTAAGAAAGTTAAGGTTTATTAATAAAAATAATTTACCAATCATTTATCAATTCCTTCATCATAAAACAAGATTTATGTGCTTTATTCATGGAAAATCTTAAGTCAATACAGCAGTAGGAAAATGAAAGACACATTTAAAATATTTTCATTATTGTCATTAGTATAAAAATTCAATAGTAGAAACTTTTTAATGCCACTTAAAAGATCATTGCTTTATTGAGAAATATTTTTAGGATAAACAGTTTGTTCATAAAATGCCTCTTTTGGTTGATGTAAGTAAACATAATACACTGAGGAAAATGCACACTCTTACATTTCTGGTAGCATTAATCAAACTATGATACTGACACCTTTGTTCAGCTGTCACTTCCAGCAAAATATTTGATGAGACAATTAAAACTCTCAGGATGTTTGCACTGTAGATTGAGGAATAATCACACCCTTCTGGATCAGTGCAGCAACCAGTGAGCTTGGCTGTAAGGCCAGGGCTCACACAAAGGTTGCTGCCTTCATATCAGCTTCCCCAGGAAAAGAGGGAGAGGAGGGCAGAGAGAAACCAGTGTGAAAGTCCAAAGGTGCTCTGGGGATGCTGGTACCAGTCCTGGTGCCGTGTGGGACAGAGCCACCGCCTCCAAGTGCCACTGTGGTGACACAGCTGCTCTCAGTGTAAGGTTCTGGGGGTTTCTGCCAGAGACTCCATTGTCTCAGCATTTTGGTTTGCTTTGCTTTGTTTTTTGGTTTGGTCTTGGAGGCTGTTTTGTTTTATTTTGTTGTGTTGCATTTTCTTGTGTTCTTTTGTGTTTAGTTTTGTTCTCATCTTTTGCCTTTGCTTTTGGAGACACATTTGGGAAATACAAATAAGGCAGAAAAACCCCAACTCCTGAGTTTTTCTGCTTAAGAGAATTCTCCAAAGGATTTCTAATTTGTGAGAAGAGACAAAGGCTCCTCTGCACTGAGGAGCTGGATTTTACATCATGTGATTCAGGAGAGCCTAGGCACATGGGCTTCTCCCTTTGTCTCCAAAATGGTCATGCTGCCTTGGAGGAAAAACCATAAATCTTTGTGGAGCAATAAATAGAATATAAATGGGTATCCAATATGCCACTGCTTTTAAGCTCACAGTCACACTGTGCTGGTCAGGTTTGGGTTAGGAAGTAAAGACGGCCGCTTAGCAAATCTGGCAGGAATACAACAAAAATACTGTGAAAGATGACAAAAACTGGTGAGTTTTCTATTCAAATCCATCACAAATTTCAGGAGTACATTTTTTGTATAAATATGTATGCATTTAAGGGAAGGAGGATAAAGGATATTCTGCACTTCTTGGTGTTCCTATCAAAAATGGATTTGTTTTGCCTGTGTATTAATAGCACCACTATTTTTTGGAGTAAAATACCTGAAGTTTTGTACATTTAGTAGGTACATGCTGAAAATAAAATTACTTCTATTTCAGAAATTAAATAGCTTAATATCTTAGATTATTTAAAATACTTTAATTATTAGGCGCACTAAATTTGTAGTTTTACTTTTTATGCTTTTTACATCAAAACCAAAATTTTGCCACCATATTTAATATCGAAATTCCATCAAAATCAAATAATTTAAAAGTTCATTGATGTTTTATTGCTAAGTGTCATCTGCCAAACAATTAATGATTTTTAAGAGACAAAAGCTTCATATTTACTTGGAAGATGTTGAAATAGTAGAGTTCCATTAAACACTAATGCACCCAGTTTCACCACCTATTTATTAGTGGTTAGCATTTGTCATCTGCTCTCCCTCAGCAGCAAATGCAAGATTAGAATTTCTTGCTTGGCTCAGAATAGTAGTGTTCTGCATGACATGTGTGTGCTAAGTGTTGGCAGGGGTGGTATTTTAAAGGCAATATTTAGTACATATATATATATATACAAAGGATCTCTTTCTCTCTCAAATGATCTCAAAAGTCATTTGGTAAGAGAAAATGTACTTCCATCTCAGGAGTGTGTTGCCACTTTTGACGTGGCTGAATATTTGTGAATCAACAGTGCATGTTAATACAGGAATAATATATAATGTTCTATATGATAATTTTGTTACTTTAAAGTTTTTGTTTCATACAATCATTTCTTATCTTAGATGGGGTAAAAATTAGTGTATATGTCTCATGAAAACGTGCATATATATGAGCACGTATGTGTGAAGCTCTATATAAACACACAAACATACAGATATATATAGATCTGTATCAGGTTTGTTTCTCCTCCTCACAGCTCTGAAGGCTGTACTGTAGGGTCAGACTGAGAGAAATTTGAATTGGCCACGTTGAGCCATGCCCAGGGCACCCGTGCAGATTCCAGCCCCGTGCAGCCACCACGTCCCTGGCATGCTTCATTTCTTGGGATTGTGCAGCTGGCCCTTAGATCTACATGAAGGAGAACTGAAAATAATTATAATCCTGAGATTTGCACAACCTTTTTTATTTCTTTTTTTTTTTAATGAGACTCTCTATTGTCATTCCCCACTTCACTGCTGTATCTGTGTAAATATGGGCACAGTCTTTTCATAGACACATAAATAAAGCAGAGGACACTTAACTGTACTTGAGATAGGAATATATAGTCAAAATAATGGCTGCTTACAATTTTGGTTTAAAATCTGACCATCAACAGCTGACCCATAAACAGGGTAATCCAAAACTTGATATTGCACATGGGCATCTAGCAAGAGGTGCTGTAATTTGATTTAGCAGAAGCTAAAACTTCTGTTAAATCAATCAGTCTTTAACTCTCCTCTACTTGCCTGGTGTGTGTATGCTCTGTGATGCTGAGGTTGTTACTAGGGAAGCAGTATAAAGCTGGAGCTGCATGAAGTGGGAGCTGGAAGCCAAGAATTTATTCCTATGGTTCTCCCTATTGATTTGCTTGCTGTGTGACCTTGGAGGGCATCCATGTCAGTCCACCAGACTCTGCCACACCACATCATAGGTATGCTGTTTACACTTCCCTGACCCACTGGCTAAGGCAGACCTGCTGCCAAGATGACTTAAGAGGAGGAGCAGGGCGCTATGGCTGGCTGTCAGGGAGAGCTGATGTGTCCCACCTGGCAGGAGTTTCAGAGAGAAGAGGGAAGCTGCAGCCTCACATGAAAAGGAGGCAGCACTGCAGAGCATTGCTGACCTGTGCAGTCATCTGGTAAACACAGCATGGACCTGCTGCAAGCACAAACCTGTGACTCTTCGTCCTTGATGTAGTACCCCTACCAGATATTTCAAAATCTGCCAGAAAGAGATAGATGCACAGAAGCTTTTGCAAAGTCCAGAGAATGGCATGACTGGTAATTTTTATTTCATATTGCTCTTGCTGGTTCATTTCCTGAACATGATGCAAGAAGTTCATCCTTAGGAAATCTGTGAGTTGGAAAGCAGCAGTGTCTGGCCTGACAGAGCAGGGTAGGCTGCCTGTATAATGTAACAGGGAAGACCCTGGGCTGTGGAGTTGCAACTGAGCGAGCTAACTGCATCTGCTTTCTGTAGCTGGTGGAGCACAGAGACAGTACAGTGGAAGTCCAGACTGAAGATGTCCAGAAAAAAAGTGTTGTAGTGTTGAAAACACTAGTTTTTCCTTCTTAAGGAAAAGATCCATCTTTTAAAATGTTTTGGAAATATCATAAGATTTTTGTGGGGTTTTTTGTTGTTTTTTTTCCAAAAAATACCTCTGTTGTTTCTGAATTTTGTTTGTTTTATTCTCTCCATTGTCAGCTGTGGCTTATTTATCCTGAAGCTGAGGTTCAGTCAGCTGTTTCTCAAGGCTTTCTAATTCTCTAAAACAAAAGCAAAGCAGAACAGAAACTGTTACAATGGTGTTTTCTTGGGGGTTATTTTGTTTTTTCCTGAAGAAATTCCTTTGCTCTAGAAGCTTGTCGTACTCGGAATGTGGGCTGATGCATCCATATTGCATCTTCATTCAGGTCAGGAGTGTCATATCAGAGAGGATGTGATAGGCTGAGTGTTAAGGTGTTTGCCTTCTGAGACAGGTATAAAAATGATGGTAAATGTGCAGCTGGAAACAGTGAATTTAACATTGTATTCAAAATTTTTCTCTAACTTAAAATTTGAGAAAACCAGAATGAAAAAAAAGGAGCAGAATGCAAGTGACAGAGGAGATGGAGTTTTGCCAGTGATTTCAGTGGAATTAGGAATTTACACAGGAACTGCTGAAGTAGGATGATGAAAGCCTCTTTGAGAAGTCATAGATAAAATGCTTGGGGAACTTAGAAGCTAATGTGATAATAAATTGGTTGTGGTTTGTCTCCTAAAGATGCCAGGACACAAACTGACCCAATGTAAAGGTGAACACAGTCATGTTAGCCTCCAGAACACTGTTGAATTGAAACTATTTTCCCATTGGATTTGTAGAATAATTTCCTGACAAAAGCTGATTTATTTTTTTTTATTTATGCAAAAGTTCTTGTTGTCATTATAATTCCTAGCTTCAAGTATAAAGGTAGTTCTTAATCAGATTTTTACCCTTCATGAATGAGGTAATCTGTCCTTTTTCCTGGGATTTGTGTTTTTGGTTTATTCAGGTTCTTTGCAAAAGTATTTGTGCTCCAGACAGATTTTATTACAACTAATAGGAAAAAAATATGTATTTATTTTAATGTTCCATATGGAAAAGATGTTTTAAGATCAGTGTTAGCAATGACCAATGTTATACAAGCCACTGGGATAAAAATCTTTTCAAAGTGATGTGAGCAACACATGAGTTATTTTGAATCACCATTTCTCTGTTCTTAACTCATCTGCCAGGAGTAGTTTTTTACAAGGAGCAAACACATTTTGATGATAAACAACACTTTCACTTTCTTTGTTTTCTTTCTGTTCCCTTTCTCAAACTACCTACAAGCGTCATGTATATTTTATTTGGCTTATTTTTATCCAGAAGTAATATTTTCTTCTGCAATGTTCCAAAATCTGTTTTTCATATAAAGAGATTAGAAGCCCCTCCCTTCCTTATGATCTACTGATGGTTTTGCTGTAGTTCCTATTGTAAATAGATTTACTGTTATTGAGAATTTATGCTTAGGGAGTGGGTCAGAGAAACCAGACATTAACATGAAGGACTCAGGGTTTTAAGAGCTCTTTTTCTCTCCTGCAAGTGTTCTCTTATCCCTGTGAAAAACAAAGGGTGGGTCTAAATACCAGAATGCTTGGGGTTATTTTTACATGTTGTCTGTGCTGTTCACAGCATGCTATGCCATTTTGGAGGATCTCGAGCCACTCTGACCTTATGGCCCTTCACCATGCCTTGGAACTGGAGTACTTGTAGCAACTTAGCAGCACTTTCAAACCTCAGAGCCTCCTTCTGCCCGTGGATGAGATGCCTGTGTCTTGTGTCAGCATTGGACTACAGAACTTTGTGATTTCAACATGTTGACGTACAGCTGCAATTGGTCTTAACCCTTGCCCTTTCAGTAAACGGAGGAGCATGTCTTTTTCTTCAGAACAGCTGTTGGCTCCAGTACTGCAAGTCCAACGAAAATAAGCCATGCGAGTGTTTGAACAACTCATCTTTACCATATTTGCTACCAAAAAGAAATTGAGAAGGAAAAAAAATATAATGGGGAAAAAAAAAGAAAAATAAAAAAAGAAAAGAAAAGGAAATAAGAGGTTCATACCTGTGAAGAAAAGAAAAAGGACCTGCAAATGCTTTGTAGTTTTTAGCCTCTTCAATGTGACACACACCATTTCTTCAACACAGCAAACTTGATTGCACAATGAAGACTGAGATTTTACAAAATACCAGTGGAGTAATTTTCTTATAAAGAAGGTTTACGTTTTGGTTTCTCATACCCAGGGTACTCTGTACATCTTTACTTATTTATGAACAGACTATATTTTGACAGCATATAACTGAGGATATGTATAATAGGATTAAAGGCTATTATAAGCCTTTGCCTTATGGTACAGCAACTACTTTTGATTTTAGCACATTACAGAGTAGTTTAAAATATGTCTAATTTAAACTGATAGGTACATCACTGAGACAATCATGTACAGGAAGAATTTTTGTGTAAATTTGTAATAATGAATGATTCTTTTACATATTGTTAAGGTAAATGCTATTGAAAGATAGTAATGCCTTGTTGGTGAAGAATGAGGCCACGTGTGCACAAACTTGTGCGGTGCCTTATCAATGTGTTGGATATAAATATGTAGATAATGGATTTTTTTAGATAAATTTGTCAAGACCAAAAGCATGGATGTCAAGTGTCAATAGGAACTGGGTTTTGTTCTCAGCTGTTTCTCTGCCATTTTCTTGTCTCACCCACTCTGATCATGGAAACATTGATTTTGTGTGTCCCCCCCAGGTCAAAGCAAATTACAGATAAAACCCAAGTGAAGAGGAGGCCTTTGTTGTCTTTTTGTTGCCTCTTTTAAAGTTAACATATTAACCCTTTTTAGAGTATAAAAAAATTAATTAGGAGAGTCATTCCATAAAGAAATAGAGAAAGAACAAAAATATATTTTAAGATGTAACTTAAACTGGAACCTTGGTACTAAATAGCTTTTGTCTCATCCGAAAATGAAGGAAACTATCATCACTAATATTTTTAGAAATTAGAAATGAGAATATTTTGGAGAAATTAAACAAAAATGCTCATATACATTTAAGTTTTTTAATCCTCTTCCACCAGGAGTCAGATTTTCCTAAAATATAACATCCATTGCCGGCAATGGAAATGCTGAAATGGTTATCACCAAGGAGTTAAAATTTGCTTTTGTCTGTACTAACTTAAAGGACAAACCTAGACTGTGTCTGTCTGTGACTTGTGACTTTTCTGATCTTGAAGGCTGTGAGCTACGAAACAGCTACCTGCAAAGCTACAGAGCACCAATGTAGCTACAAATCAACACCCTTCTCTTTTGGAGGAATCACATTGCTGCTAGAATAAAAATATTTGTGGATTGCTTTAGTACCAACAGAGAGGTTTTTATCTTACCAAGACTTGCACGTGTGCTTTACTTTACTCAGTATGAATGAGTGCTGCAACTCATGCAGTACTCACATATGTACATAAAGCACATTGTGGATAGTTTTTAGAATTGAGACTATAATTAGCATTTTTTTTTCCTTGAGCAAAGTAGACAGTGATGGGGGGGAATTGGTTGTCCTTTTTTTTTTTTTTTTTCTTTTTGCTTTGGCTCTTTACAATTTTTAGTCACTCGCGGACTGAAAAAAATAACAAAGTTTATCTGGGCCTTATTGTACAAAAAAGTGTGTTGTGTCCACAATTGTGTACAGAATTTTTCTTCATTGATTTTGTTTTAAATTAATAAAATTGATTTGTGAACGTATTAAACAATTGTCTTGTATGCAAGTCTGTGATATTTCTGCCCTTTGGGTTGGGAATGAGGAGACATCTCTCATCTCTTTGCTATCTCAAGACATAGTTCACCTTCTGGTGCCCAGCTGAGGGGTTAAATAGGTTAAAGAATACTTGCATCTAGTTTACAGAAGGCTCAGTTAGATGAGCAGCAGTTGTTTTGTTTATCAGCAGCAGCTAGAGGTGGTCAGTGCAGAATAAGGCCTTGGTGTCCTGGAAATGTGTCTCAGTGACTCACAGCAAATTCCTGAACTTCGTGGCGTCTCTGTCATCCAAAGCAATCCATGTGCTGAATGGATGAGTCTGGCAGTCAGACATCTCACTCAGGGCTACAAGTCCCATCCTCTGAGCTTTTACAGGCCTGAATGTCTGGGAATTCAGGACTGGCATTTAACTTTTCCAAGCACAGAGCAGGGCTGCCTTTAAATTTGGAAGAGTGGCAGTGACCACCATTTTATAGCAGACACTTTGTTGTACGCACATGGACTGGTGAAGACGCCTCTTTGCTTCTCTACCCATCAGTGAGAGCCTTGACTGCCAGCTGGTTGCTTCTGATGCTCACTTTCTGCTCTGGTGAGACCTAACAAATGGAAGAGAAACCAAGACCAGTCAAGGACCTGCTTCTACATTCTTGACACCACCATAAGAGTTGCATGCTCAGAGTTGAAATATGTGTCTTCAGCAGAGCACCAATGATGCTGGAAATTATTCTGATGAAGTAAGCACTTAATTGTCCCCTGAAATCAGTGTCTTTCTTTCTGAGCAACTAAATACACAGAAAAATAATTAGTTTTTAAGGACCATCATATGAAAACCCTTAAATCAAAAACTTGTAAGAAAGCAAGGAGTCCTATAGAGTGAAAGAGATCATGTAGGCAGCTCATAAACTTGGAGTCCACTTTTTGAAACGTCAGTAGTGCTTGAAGTTCCCATTTCTTAGATGCTCACTGATAAAAATATTCAGCTGTAATGGTTTTCCTTCTAAGAATAACACACATGTAACTCTGAGGCAGTGCCAAGAAAGTGAAATTAAAAATAGTGATTATTATTATTATTTATGTCTTTCATGACTGGAATGCATGCTCAGTGTGTGGTACCTTTGTCTCAAAAATGCTTGCAATGCAAGCCAATAAAATACTGTTAGAAATTCTTTTTTGCCTTTTCCTTCAGTTTTCTGCTTCTCTCAGTGGTGTTGAATTCTGCCCTGCAACATGAGTAGGGGATGGATATCAAGAGACACATTTCTTTGTGTCCTATGCAAAGAGAGAGGCACAGGCCTGTCCCAATCTTCCTATTCTTTGTCAATGGCAAGGCTGCACAGCTGCCACTTTCGTCATTCTCTGTTTAACCAGGGACTGGCTCTACCAAAACTGTCCAGCTCTCTTGTGCAGGAAAAGGACTAGAAGAAAATGGGAAAATCCAGGGGAAAACATGTTGGAAAAAAACATACAGAAGAGGTGTGAGGTGCAGCTGCAGCTGCAGAGAGGGTCTGCAGGTATCCAGGAAGGGTCACTGAGTGGAGCACCCACTACTCCTGGCTGGGCCCCCAGCAGCTGCTCAGGATTGTGCCCAGCAATTCGATGGGACAAGGGACCAGTAAGAGGTCCCCCACTTTCTAGGCTACTCTTTCCCACCAACTTCATGGTGTGGATGGCAGGTTGGCCACAGCATGGGAGACAACTGCACATAACTCAATATGGGCCTCAGGGGAGAATGGTGAAGCAAGGTGGGCTGGTTGCCATCCCTCCTCTGGCTCCCCCTGAAACTCTTGTCCTGTCCCCATAACCTCTGTACAGCTGGCATGCACCACATGTCACAGAAAAGACACAGCAAAGATGGAAATCTCTGGAGAACAGAGTCTGAATTCCACAGCCTATTAACTGTGTGAACTTTTCTATACTATGTAAGTGCATATACACACACACAAATACATACATACATACACAAAATATATATATATATATATACATATAGATATATAGCTAGATACACAAATATATGTGACAAATTTGTTGCCAAGCTTTGTTATGACAGCAAAATTAAAATGGTGTACCAGTGAACCTGTTGCCTAAGTGACTTTATGCAAATGGTTTGCAATAGAAAATGCCCCTTACTCTCGTTCTTCAGCACAGCTATGAAAGATAAATAGAGTACTTACATTTGACTACTCAAATCATCCATCTTTGTAACTGTTAGCATTTCAGTTTGTGTGAGTATAAATAAACTTTCATGTTCTGATACACCAGAGAAATTTTTTGGTTGTTTTTTACTAATATTCTGTATTGCAATTTCTGGTTTTTAAGTGGCTGCTTGTTCCTGCTAATGGTAATAGAATAACAGGAGAAGAAAAATAAAATATTTGGATTTATATAAAGCTAAATGGAGATATGCCAGCTCTCATGGAAGCCACATGATGTTGCCAGCTAACGTGGAAGTCTGACATAGGTACGAGTATGCTATTAGCAATCTACCCTTCCCATCACTTCACCAGCACTGGCAGTCTTTTGGCTGGGAAGAGGTATGTGTGGCTTGGATTTTGTTTCTCACCCTCACTTAGAAATGTTTTGCATGGCCTGATCTTTACTGCTTCCTGAAAGGCTGGCCTTTGACACTCTGCTATTTCCAGTCTTATGCACAGGTGCATTGTTCTCTAAAGTGGGAGTTGAATCATTTGCGAAGGAAGCCCCAATCTGCTTCATTTTATTCATTGCCAAGTCATGGCAAATTTGACATGGAAGTGAAGTGAGCTCTAGATATCACATTAAGTTTAATAACTGAGACTGTGGTGATAGACTATATAGTGCAGAGAAGGCAAAAAGTAGTTAGAAATAAAAAGATGAAACATAAATTGATTTTAATGGCTCTGCCATAAAATAACCCAGGAGCTGTTAGGACTCAGGCTCAGCAAAGCTAAGTGTTCACCCTCTCTTCAGACATTTTGTGATTAGTTACCACTTGCACAGGTGACTTTAAATCAAGTCTGTTTTCAACCCTACCCAGAGCTATGTGGGAGGCTGCCTGCTATTAATGCTCTTGGAGAGCCAGAGGAGTTTTGTGGGAGGGGAAGAAAAGAGAGGTGCAAATGTGCAGGCTCTCAGTGAAGCACACAAGGACGATGCTCAGAGAGAAAAAACACTTGGCCTCCCTGTAGCTGCTTAATGCAAAGTACAGAAAGTCTTGGGAACTGGTACATAAATCAGGGCTCCTGCCTCTGGGGCATGTGCTCACACCACCAAATCCAGGGATGCCCTTAGCTCTCCTCAGAAAAATCCACTGGGTGGACTGAATACCTGCTGTCCTTCCTCTTGTGGTTTCAGCCCAGCAGGTCACTAAGCACCATGCAGCCACTCACTCCCTTCACATTTGGATGAGGGAGAGGATTGGAAGAGTGAAAGTGAGGAAACTCATTGGTTCAGATAAAGACAGTTTAATAGGTAAAGCCAAAGCTGTGCACACAAGCAAAGCAGAACATGGACTTAATCCACAATTTCACAAACAGGCAGGTATTCAGCCGTCCCCAGGAAAGCAGGGCTCCATCACACATTGTGGTGACCTGAGAAAACACCATCACTCCAAATATCCCCCCACTTCCTTCTTCATTCCCCACCTTTATATGCTGAGCATGATGCCATATGGTATGAAAGACCCCTTTGGTCAGTTGGGATCAGCTGTCCCAGTGGTGCCCCTCCCAAATCCTTGCATATCCCCAGCTGCCCACTGGTGAAGTGGGGTGGAGTGAGGCACAGAAAAGATCTTGACTCTGTGCAAGAACTGCTCAGCAGTAACTAAAACATCCCTGAATTGCCAACACTGTTCTCAGCCTAAATCCAAAACACAGTCTCTTACAAGCTACTGTGAAGAAAATTAACTCTATCCCAGCCAAAACCAGCAAAACAACTCTCCAGAGTAAACAAGTGCAGTTCTCAGTACCAAGACAAGCAACTGAATAGAAACAAAACCATTACATTCCCCTTTACCTCAAGAAATGCTATAATTCCAGAAGGGATCATTAACTTTGCATTAAATTCATGTTCCAGCTCCTAAATCTATCTGTGCAGTCATTATTTATATGTGACTCACTTAAAATTCAGTAGAGCATCTGTGTCATAGATATCAGAGGTCTACTTACATGCCGTTTGGTATTTGTCACTAATCTGGGGTCACAGGAGGTCAGGCCAGTAATATTTCCACTACACAGCAGGTAAATCCTCTCAGACCATTCCTGATACCTTCTTACAAAATGAGAGTTTGAAATTCAATTTAAACCATACAGGTTTATACCTAGTAAGAGCCTTCCTGGAGCCCTTTCATTTTAAGACTGAAAGTTTTTAAAGGGGAGTGAGAATAAAAAACAACCCTGAACTATATACTGAGTTCTCTAGAAGACAAGGAAAGCGCAGCAAAATAAAGTTAGGAAGGTTGCAATTTCCCTTTTAAACAACAGTCACAGGGGGGGAAAAGTCAGTTCTTGTGAGTATTAGCATTCTTTTTGGTATTTCTATAGTCCAGCTCAAATCAAATATTCTGTAAGCTTTTTTTGTCCAGAATTTCTCAAATACTTGCTCTTGTGCCACCTGATTTCTCTTTCCATTGCTCCAGTAGCTGTGTGAACCAGCAGATCTGAAGATTCTGCTGATTGTCTTTGGGCAATCCCTGCAGAAGAACCAAACCAGGCAATGGGTGTGCTAAGAAAGTAACAGAGCCAATGTTTGTACCTCTTGGGAGTGAAGGTGCTCTTGCTACTTTTGGATGTTCTTGCTTAACACAGGCCACAGGTGTGTGTCGAATGACAGTTGAGAAATTCAGTTTCTGAACAATTTTTTTGTGATTTTCTTTCTTACAGATAAGCCAAATTAGAATTCCTTAAAGTCAAAGACTAATTTCCATCAAAACCTGAACAGAAACTGTCTGTTAAAATTCCAGACATTGGATGGCCCATTGGCTTCAATTAAAGTTATGGGAAACTGTTCAGATCTTTAACTGTAATAGACCCTTAAAGCTTACTGGACTTTTTGCTTAATATTGCTCTTTTTTTCCACTAGGAATAGGAGCAAGACAAACCTGATGAATACTATGGCAGCCTGAATCCAGAGCTTTGACAGGAGACTTTTATTTTGTTCTTGAATCATGTTTTGCTTGGAAATGTGGTTTGGTGTTGATGTTCCTTCCTGCTGAGCAGTCCAAGTCCTGAGCTGGGACACTGGGTGATGAGAGAAGATACTGCTCTCATGCTTCTCTTTTTTCCTTTTTTTTTTTTAACATATTTTCTCCCACATTTTTCTGTGAAGAACTGATCTTTTATGACCTTGTTCTTGCTATTTTAACTTTGTCCTAATCCATGCAATGTCCTCCTCCATATTCCATCATAGTCCAATGTTCTAAACATTGACATCTGAGACAGAAGCTATTTAACACTTCCATAACAGTATGTAATGCATTTCCTTCTCTTCTGAGATGGAGAATACTGCACCTGAAATGTGGAGAAAAAGTTAAAGTTTGGATACTAATATTTTCCATAGCTTTCTAATTACTCCTTCATCTGTACCAAATATAGACTGATGTTCAAACCTTTTGTAGGTCTCTGGCAGGATTTTGAATGGTTTTGTTGTCTCTGGTCAGGTTTCTAAAACCATTCTAGTAATTTTGAAAACATGCTGGCAAAAGGAGTCTGTTCCACAAGGCAGTTGGTTTAGTTCTTAGACAGTGGCTTTCTGGTGAATATTTGTGGTATGGTTCTAAAGTGTGGAAGTACATGGGATTTCTAAGCCCTCAGTTTCCTGGTGGGAATAATTCTGGACAGATGGTTTTACTATCCAGATGACAAACTAATTGCCAGCAATTTTGTAGAAATAAAAATCTTATTTGAAATTATGACCTAATTGTTATGTAAAAGAAGAATAGACCATTGTAAATGCTTCATTGTGTAACATGAATCTGAATATGAGCTAAGAATGCTGCCTTCAAATCAGTCTGTTAATTACACTTCCTTAGACTTGTGGGTTGACATTCTGTTCATTCAGAAGCCTAAAGTATAGGGAGATTTTGGCTCTCATAAATGGAAAAAAATAATTTAATCCACTCCTTTCTAAATGGAAATGGAAAGTAGACCCTCTTCAAACATACTTTGAATCAAAATGAGGGACAGCTGCAGTCTGAGGCTAAATCTCCTTATTTCCACAATTCAGTACAGAGATTTGGATTTGGGCCTTTAGGTTTACTAATCCACCTGAATAACCAAATGAAATCACTTTTAATCTGCAAGAGGGTGACTAAAAAAGAAAAGCTAAATAAGATGCAGTATTTTTGTGGCAGATCTGGCACATGAACATGCTGAAACACATGCAACAAGTGTTCCCCAGACCTCTAACCTGTGTGTTTCACTCGCTGTCACTTGGATTTCACTTCTAGCATCAATTGTGGTTAGTATCAGTGTGGATATGAGGAGTTCCCAAATGGACTCTGGGCCACCATGAGTCCTGCCCACCAATCAGATACTCTGATTCCATGTTTATGCAGAAATTTGTATTTTATCCACCCATCACCTGCTTTTCTGTTATATCAGTCAGGTGACACCATGGATGGAGCACCAGAGCAGCAGCAGAAGTTTCTGTCCCCATTTTTCTCATTAACAGCCTCAACATCAGGTGTGCAGTCCTGGTCTGCCACAGCTGGGCTCAAGCTATTCCCAGCCCTACTTCATCTATCTGCAGAGTCTATTCCTCAGCTCCACTGATTGTGGTCTTTTGATATTATGCAACAGTAATGCCCTGTGTTCACAGTTTTTGTAGTAATCCTGCAAAAACATGAAATGGCAGAGCTGTGTCTTGTTGTCATGGCGTCTTATCTATTTTACACAGGTTGGATTCCTATTAATTAAATTTGAATCAAGTCACTGAGTCATGTCAGGTCCTCATGTCTCATGCATTTCATATCTTCACTTGAAGGAGAATCTTCTGTTTTGTCTTCATGTTCAGTGATTCCCAAAGGCAGCCTGGGTAAAACAAACAGAATATTATGTATTTATGTTAATGGATAGAAGAAAGGCTTTGTTTCAAACTCATTACAATACTTCTTAACAGCAGCATGCAAAATTTAAGCCTGTCTACAGATAGAATGCCAGGAAGAAACAACTGCATTGAGTTTATAAATAAAATTAATCATCAATTGTCCAAAACACAGATTGTGATATAGCCTATTAGAAAAATAAACTGTGGAACCATAGCAGTCAGACTCTAACCAGCTCTGAAATTCTTATATATTCTTATAAACCTACAGTGGTTTGTAGTTTTCTTCAAAGAGGAATACAAATATATATAAGTGAAAGACACTCCTATGATTTGAAACTACATAGCCAAAAGCTGAATCTGTGAAACTCTGTCATTTTATTTATCCACCGACACTGATGTTCAGTTCTGCCAGAACTCCCCAAATCTTCAGGTTGGTAGCACAGACAATAAATCTAAAAGAACCACATTTCAGTAACTCTAATCAAGACAGCTGCAAAACACCAAAGACCCCAAAAACCAAATAGGAAGATGGTAAAAACCTCTGCCCACAAACCTAACTTGTGGTGTTTGCTACTTTGCCACAGCATTTAAGCTTGCCAGATGCTGTCTGCATCAGTCTGCAAGTATTCTACTATTCCTTCATTAAGGAGTAGTTGAGGATGCATGGTATATAATAACCATTCTGGATCTTTAAAAATAAAAGCCTAGGTCAGTCTGGGTTTCACTAAAAAGCAGGTTCAAAAACATAACTGATGGAAAACCATCAGTCTTTATTTGACTCTCAGAAACTGAAAGGCATCAGTCTGTGAGAAAGGATCAGCCAAGCTAGGAGATGTTCTTTGGCTTAGAGAGCACTTTGCATGCCATGCCAATCTGTGGCTCATTTCAGAGTGCATGTTAGCTGAAATATCTTGCCATAATTTGGCTGGGCTTAACCAATCCCCTGGAAAGGAGAGCAAGCAGGCTCCATGGCAGGAGCAGCCAAGCTTATCCAACAGCAGCACAGCCATGTACAACCCTCATCTGAATTGAGGATCTTCACTTATAGCTCTGCTGCTCTTGCAGGGACAGCTGAGCCCATGCAGCACCAGAGCTAAAGTACTGAACCCTGTGCAAACTTGTACAGCATGTGCATCCCCTAGATGCTGCCTGAGGGTGAATAGCAGGAAATAGCAGGAAATAGCAGGAAAAAGCCCTTATCAAGTGTTGTCCTCCAATGCATCTCATGGAAATACATTTTCCAGTCTGAGCTGGTATCTTGTGAGACAGCAGCAGTGTATTGGAAGGAGTGAAAGTACAGCTCCAGTATCCAGGACAGCCAGATTGTATCCTCTGATTTCCCCATGTCATGCTTTGTAAGTGACTTATTGACTGTATCTGATGTCTTTTACCTCTTGGCAAGGAAAACACCATACACAGACCAGTGTTGGGACAATGAGGAGATTACAGATGTGAGGTATTGTGTATTTCTCCGACATATAAAAATTTCAAATGGCTTCGGTGATCTCCACAAATTATCGTATGTGCATTTTCATTTTAGTTTGTAGTATTATTTCTATTTCAATTGTCTTATTTTCTTTACTCCCCACAGATCCCAGTGGGTCAAACAGACTTCTTGGTGCCTTAGAGACAATCCAGATTCTCCTGCTGAATTTCTGTGTCCCTTTAGAAAGTACCACTGTGGCCCAACTCTGCCTTTCCAAGTGATGCGTAGGGTACAATAAGAGGTAGGGAAAATGGTCATCCTCGGTGACTTTACAACAAAAATATACAGAGATGACATTTCCTGTGCTCCCACACCTCTAAATTCAAGGCTGGTGGCTCTGCAGAGAAGGAGGAACCTCATCTGTTGTTGAATTTGGCCACATGTCTGGAGGAGAAGGCTTTCTACAAGCAAAGCTCCTCACTCTCCTTCTGCTCCTGACCATGGCTCACATGTTGGCTACTGTCAGGGTGTGTAACAGATAATTACAGTCCAGCAGCCTCTCACATTTGAACTGGAATTGAATCTTAGAGCTACTGTGACAGCTGAATGGTAAAGGTGCTGTGAAAGGTTTACTTTTGTCTGAAGGGAATGATCTGAGTGTGGGGGAGGGAGGAAGAAGTAGTTCTACAGAAAAAGCTGCTTCAAGTCCAGTATTATTAGACCAGTTCTAATGCCACTTTTCTCTCTCCATTATTAGATGGAATTCTCAACTCTTTATAAACCTCTTTTTCTTCCTCCTTCTTTTAAGCCTGATAGGCTACCCAGTAGTTGAGATGTCTGGACAAGGATAGGGGGAGTTTATTTTGTTTTCCTCAGTGTCTGTTTGTTTTTTTTAGACTGTGAGGATAAATGAAAGGAAGTCTTGACAGTATGAGCATTTGATCAAACAGCTGTTAAAAAGAGTATGTGAACGCTTTCCTATGACATTTGTTCTAAAATACTGTATCTAGCAGGTTGGCTACTTCTAAAGTTATAAATGAGTTTTAGCATCTCAGCAAGAATTAATACTTGGCAAGTTCTCCTGAAAAATTTAAAAAATTTTAATAGGAATTTATCCATTAAAGAAATGTAAACCTTTGAAGACCTGTCAGGCACTGACAGGGACTGCCATAGACTCCATGAACAAAAAGGTTATCATCCCTTGTACCAGCTGATCTTCTTATGTCCAAGGAAATTCCACCTGTGGCAGATTGACCCCAGCTGGATGCCAGGTGCCCACCAAATGTACTCTATCACTCCCCCCTCCACAGCAGGAGAGAGAAAATATTACAAAAGGTTCATGGGTTGAGATAAGGACAGGGAAAGGTCATTCACTGATTACTGTCATGGGCAAAGCAGACATAACTTGTCGATATTAATTGAATTTCTTGCCAATCAGAATCAGAGCAGGATACTGAGAAGAAAAAAACCCTTAAAGATCTTCCCCCTACCCCTCACTTCCTCCTGGCTTTGCCTTCTTGAGATGGGGAAGAGGGGTCATGGTCAGTCCATCACACATTGTTTCTGCTGCTGCTGCTCAGGGAGAGGAATCCTTCCCCTGCTCTGGAGTGAGGTCCCTCCCACAGGAGACAGTTCTTCATCAGCTTCTCCAGCATGAGTCCATCCCACAGGCAACAGTTCTCCAGCAGCTCTTCCAGTGTGGGTCCTTTCCCACAGGATGCAGTCTGTAAAGAACAGGTTGCTACAGTGTGGGTCCTCTGCAGGGTCACAAGTCCTACCACGAAATTTTCTCCAAGTGGGTTCCTCTCTCCAAAGGTTTGCAAGTCACTGCCAGGAGCCTGCTCCAGTGAGGGCCTCCCACGGGGTCACAGCCTTCTTTTGAGCATCCAGCTGCTCTGGTATGGGCTGCAGGTGAATACCTGATTCCCCCTGGATCTCCATGGACTGCAGAGGCCCAGGTACTTCACCACAGGCTGCAAGGGAATCTCAGCTCTGCTTCCTGGAGAACCTCCTGCCCCTCCTTCTGCACTGACCTTGGTGTCTGCAGAGCTGTTTCTCTCCCATGTTCTCACTCTTTTCTTCCCTGAGCACAATTACATCTGCACAGTAATCTTTCTTTCTTCTTAAATACGTTACTGCAGAGGCATTACCACCATCTCTGATTGACTCAGGCCAGAAACACATCCATCCTGGAACCATCTGGCATTGGCTCTGCCAGATATTGGGGAACCTTCTGGCAGCTTCTCAGAGAAAGCACCCCTGTAGCCCCCCTCTACCTGCCATGTAAACAAAATGCACCAGCACAGCAGCAGAATCTAAGGAAAGGATCTAGATCCTTCTCTCCCTTGATTTTATTGTCAGTATAGTTGTGGGAGCACTACAGCCTGGATATTTTAAGGAGGTTGGGATGACAATACCTGTCTCACTCAGGATGATGTCATTCCTATCCAAATTTAGGATAATAGAAAGGAGCTCACAGATTATAAATTGCCAAAAAAGAATATGCTCAGGCTGTGAGCCAAAAATATTTTTTCTGGGGTTTTCTTTGCCTGTTGAAAGGTAAATTGGGAGCAGGACTGGAATGTGGAAGAAACATTCTAGCTTTTCTGAAATATCTGGGTTTATCCAATTGCCTGGTACCTATTCCGCCTATGTAATTTCTAATCTTTTTTGGTTTAAATCCTACTTTACATTTGATTTTTTAAAATGTGATATTTCATCAATATTGCTGTATATTTTTTGTTGCTCATGTGTTATGAGTACAAGTACTTCAGCTCACAATAGAACTTAATTCTACTGCAATCCATAGTTGTCAATTAGGGAAAACAAAACATCTCTTATGCCAGGTGATACTTTGCATTCCCATCTCCCCACCTGCTCCACATGCCTACAGTCACTGTCCCCACACCTGTACTAATGACACTCTTCTCCAGGCAAGCTCTCACCCATGCCAGGTGCTGCTTTCATACCTCCTTCCTTCTTTCAAAGCATTCCCAAGCAGAAAGGGAGACCTTCCCAATGTGTTGCTTGCAGCATACTAGGAATACATTTTCTGTTCTGGAAAGCATCTAGTCAAGAAAAATAATTTCAGCTATTTTCACTCAAAATCAGAATTGCTGATTTTTAGGAGGAAAGCACATAAATCAAGTGGAAGTTGCTAAAAATGTTTTATTCTTTATCAGCATGGAGTAAGAAACTTTGTGTTCTGATATTGACAGAACATGGCTTTCCTGGGTTAAAATATACATTTACCTCTGCTACTGGTTTAGAAATGCCTTAGGAATACACAAAGGATTTTTAAAAATAAAAGCATGGTGCCTCAGGGAGTACCGCTAGTTTAAATAACACATGAAAGTATTTATGAGCCTTTTTTTATGAGGTGGTCAAAGCAAAGACCATCCAGCATGTAACATAAGACTGGCTAAAGAAGAAAGATTTTTCAAAACCACATTGGAGAATTAAGCATGAATGGAATTTTATTTCAGTCTCTATTGCTTATTTAAATTAATGAGGTTTTCAGGTGCGGTCTAAATGATAATACAGATCAAGGTGAGTTTTGCCAGGGAGCTGGACTCTAGTTTATTATTCAAAGAATGCTACTGACTAATGTTGATGTAATCCTAAATAGACAATAGGTTTAGTGAAAGTAATTTTTTTAAGAGTTTCAAACACTGTAAGGGGTACTGGAATTGCATGGACTCATTCATTAGAAATGGAAATTATTATTTGTGAATATATAGATTATATGTAGATTAATATTTCTGAATTCTCCCAGGTAGCTTCACAGCAGATCTGCCAGTATTTATTCAGAAAAGTGCAGATTAAAGGTCATTGTCTCTTGGTAGGGAAGTACTAGCTCAGTAGTTTCTGCTGCATTTTTGTAGAGTTGCTGAGGTTTTTCATACTGCAGGATGAAGCTTCAGTCAATCCCCATGTCAAGAGATCACTTCCAGGTCTAATTCCTAAAACTGCCAAATCCTGGCCCATTTCCTAGAGCTCCTGGGGGCATTTTAAGTACTACAACTCAAAACTGGTCTCACAGTCTTTCCTTCCCCTTCATACACACTCATTCACACTCTTGTTCCAAGTCTCTTTCTATTCCTAACTTTCCTATCTCCACATAGGCCTCAGAGCTAGAAGATTGCTTTCAGACTCTTGTAATCCCAGGTGTTTTCTGTTTACCAGACCAGGGTACCTACTGACCAAATGAACCAATCTCAGTAAGATGAGCTTTACTCTTCTTGGATTGTACCTCACAAACCAGGGAGAATCCACTGACTCCATATTATTCACTAATTCTGTGTTAGGCTTCATGGCAACTGTGCAAATACTTAAAGGATTTGCAGAAGCACAGGATGATGAGGGACATTTTTGAATATATATTCTCATGTTTCTGCCTTAACTATGCATGTATGTATTTAGCTAATTAAGACAGTTATTTGAAATCACTTTTGCAATTACTGTGCTAGTAAGTAGGGCAGAACTGAAAAAAATTGATTACAATGGGACTATCCTTAACTGTTAAAAGTAAAACATGGACATAAAACCTCCATTTTTCCAGAACAAACTTTATCAGAAAGAAAGGGAGGGCTTCTAGCATGCTATTTGTATGACTTCATTATGAATAAGTTTGGTGAACTGATCTGGCTGCAAAATCAGTTTAAAATATTTTTGACCATATTTTGAATTGGGTCTTTTGGGGTTTTTTTTTGTTCTTTATGTAACTGGGGAAATTTCTCTTAAGCTGGTATTACTGTTGTCCATTTTGTAACATCAAACCCCAGCCTCCTACAGGAAATGTAAATAAATCCCAGTGGCATGGAACTTCAATAACCTTAAACCATTTTACACCTAAATGAGAGCATCTGTGGAAGGGATTAGCATGCAGTAACTTATGTGCAGTACTTCCCACCTTGAGCTGGTTTGCTTTAACTTTCCTGTGTGTCCCTAGGCAGATAAGCAAAGACAGAAAGCACCTGGGCTGCACTGCTTCAGTCACTTCATGGAATGATTCCACAGATCTGAGGTTTGAAAGTGATGCTGCACAGAGACTCCTTGATTTTGGTGTAGGAGCTTCAACAAATGGGCTCAGATCATTCACAGCAATGCTGCAGCTGAGTAGGTCGGTCAGTGATTTATCATTTGTGATTACATCTGTCCTGGTAACTGTTGTCACTGAAAAGCATGTTTTTGGCCATGGTAATGGAGATTCTAAAATAAAGCAGCTGCAGTCTCTCAGTTGTTACCATTGTTCAATTTGTTTTGTTGATTTTCATAGTGCATAAAATACACAAAACGTGCAGAAAATTTGATACCGAATGGAAGAGCAATAGAGAGAAAATCATGCAGTGTGAGGAATGGCTACAGGGAAACAGGCAGACTGAAATGAGCTAGGCATGAATTCACTGAAGGAAGTGGGCTAAGCTGCCACTCTTCCTTTGAAAAGGCTGGAAAAGGACTGTGAAGTCCCTCTGTGGAAGTGTGTAAAAGAAATGATAGCAGCCTCTCAAACAGAACCCAAGCCTGTGCCTCTACTCAAAGGGGTGTAAGATCATGCTCAAAGATGTTAATGTATTTGGCCAAAACCAATATTGTCTCCCACTGCTTAATATTACCTGGGTTTAGGAACACAGGGCTTGCAGCCAGAGAGAACTGCATGCAAGCTATCTGACTCCATCATCAATTTCTCCTCTTAAAGAGAATAACCTTCAAGCCTCCAATTTTTTGGCATAGCTAATCAAGCTGGAAAGGGTAACAACATAATCTGCATGAACAGTACAAACTGTGCCTGGTGGTCAGGGAGCCAAACTGGCATTATCCAAATCCCAGGGAGGCCAGTGGGATGACTCTGATTTCACCCAAAGTGTGTCTTGGGCCAAGTCCAGCAGTAGCCCATGTATCATCTAAGCTTATGCTGATTCCCTCGCAGGGTACCCATTGTCTTAACTTTAAGTGCTTACAAAACACTTTGTAGCTCTCTCATAACAAAGATGTTACCTTGTCACTGTGCTGCTAGTTAAAGACAGAGAAGATGCTTTATGACAGGGAAGCACTTCTTCCTGCCAAGGACCACTCCTGCCTCACAAAGCATGGGCTGTCTCCAGCGCTGCCTTTGTCCCTGACAGCAGTCAGGGCCCTGAACATATGCAGCCAACATGTGCCCTGACAGGGATGGGAGCATCTAAGGCAAATCTCGTGAAGTTCCATAATGTGATTCCCAGGCCATTTTGTCTTCCCTTGGACTGCATGCACAACAAAGCCATAATGGGATTCTCAGTATGCCTGGGCTCACTGCCATATGAACAGCAGTTGCATCCTGGCAGAGGAATAGTCTAGCCCTAGGCATTCCTTCCTGTGGCCGGGGAGTATTTCAGATCTGGCACCTCCCTGCTATCGGTCCGGGAACAGGCTTTGACTAGGTGACCCACACTGACCACTTGACGTTCTTATTAAAGCACCTGGCTTTTTCTGTAGCCATGCAGTGAGTTCACAATACAGACTATCAGCTTTGCTCTATGGGAGCCAGACACTGACCTTCTTCTATTTCATTCTCCTAAAGCCTCTTTTCCTGTGAAATTCATTTGCATTGCTGAGTAGTCCAAGCATATTTAGACTACTATCTGTCCCTCTCTAGACTACAACAAGAACTCATCTGGCACTATAAATATAAAAATTATAATAACAGAGCTGTCTCTGAGTGTTCATTTGAGCACACCTTGTAAACCCAAGGGAAAGGCTGGATGCAGTGGCATATTTCATTAAAAGACAACTGATGTTTTATTTAACTCAATAATTAAAAGTTGTACAAAAATCGCCTCAGGGTGGTTTTTAATAGCTAGGTTTCAACTTAATGCCCAAGTCTACATCGCCCGAGTCAATATGATAATTGTCCAAGAGAAAAATTTTAATATAAGTAAAAATGGTTCTCACAGATTCAGATATGTTTCCCTCAAGACAATGAGAAGTGTTTCTATAGAGATTATGATGACTGTATCAATTAGTCCATCATTCTTCTGTGCACAAACTATAGAAGACTCCCAAATGATTTGTGTAAACAGTTTACTGCAGCAGGTCAGTGATGGTATGGAGCTTTTAAACAATGGTATTCAGTTGTTTCAGCTCCCATTCAGAGAACATTCTTGCCCATTGGAAGGACAGTATATTGCTTAAAGTAGAACATATAAAGAAAAAAGATTCTGGCTGATCAGCTGCCATACTTGTCTCTTTTTTTGTCTGTCTTCTGTCTTCTAGATGAAATTGTTTCCTAAGTTTTTTGTGTCAAATCACTTCTCCTTTCTGTCTTCCTAATGGAAGAACTAGCTTTTATGTTTGGGCTCATTTCTGTTATACATGACACATTCACCTTGCAAACCTTGTGGTGCCAGAAGATGTAACTCACCCTGACAGATGTTTGCTATGCCAACACAGTCTCAGCAGTAAGCATGGGGACTTTTCCACAGTCCACTTCAGCACAGGGTTAGTGGATTACCTCAAACTACATTGATGAGTTTTGAAGCTTATCTGGGCTCATTTACCCTGGGTGCCCTGCATAGCGTGAAGCTGAAGGCTCAGAGAAGGTTCAGTGAGCTGGCAGTGGAGAAATGAGGACGGTTGAGTCTTCAAGTACTCTAGTTTGATCTGTCAGAATTCATCACTCCATGTCCCAGACTTCCTTTACAAGCAAACTGTGATCCCTCAGTATTTCGTGCCTTGCCTTGTACAAACTTAAATATGGCTGAAAAATATTTGAAAGGCAGGGATTTCACACAAGTGTATGGATTTTATCTGGCAGCAGTAGTTTACACCATTATTGACCAGCTAAGAAATTCTGCCTCTGTATTCAAGGCATGTGTATAATGCTATACATATGTGAGTGACTACATGTAAGCATTGCAGTGTAAAGTATAACAATCATGATCTTAGTGGAGCATGAATGAGAATTGTTATAGAATTACCATAATACTGTTTATAGTAGAAGGTATAAATGGTACCATGAGGCTGATTAAAGCTAAAGAGCTACTTCTCTTGCTCACTGATTACAATTAGCGCTTCACTGAATTGCTTGCCAAAGAACGCCTTTAAAATGCAGTCAATTGATCTTACAGGCTGTATTTTTTGTGTGTTTTAAATGCACAGCTGAAGATTTTCACATAGAGAACTATACATATTCTGACCACAGGTACAGTGAGTTGAGTGCAGAAGCAGGAATAGCTGGGACTTTGTCCATGCTGTTACCTTACACATTTGCAAGCTCTCATAAGCTTTTAAAAGTCCAAATCTATCACCTATTTCTTCAGCTTGTGGGTAAGTCTCCATCAGTCTGCTTTAACATTTAGGTCTGTCATAGGATTACATTTCAGGAATTGGAGGGGACAGAATCATTTCTGTTTCTCTAAGGGCCACCAATTGAATGTGTGATCTGGGTGTTCAGTTTCCCAAAGTCCATACACTGCTCATGGTAAGGTTTAAGACACTGTGCTTGTATTTGTTCAGTCGTTATAGTCAGTGAAAGAGCAGAATCTTTCACCTCACAAATCTCACTTTCTCCATTTCTTTCCTCCAAACAAAACCTTCTCCCACCGTTCTGGTTACAGTTGCTGATACTGTAGTTGATCCATAGCCAGCTCTGTATTTTGCTGATATCTGCTTTTGCTTTCATAACTCAGCAGGGTCTGTGGCTTCCTCCAAGTCCCGCCAAAATTTGACATAAATTTTCACACCCTTCCCTTTGTTTTAATACTTGATACCCCAAATCATCTTCCCTGCTGATTGTCTTAATGCACCATGAAAACTGATTTTGATCTCACTGTGAATCTGACCAAATAAGATTAGCATTTAACAAAAAACTATTTTAGAAACAAAGCCCTGAAGACTAAATGTAATTATGCTCATTCTGAGAGCTGCAGTCATTTGTCCTTGGCTTGTTTTTCCCAGAAATGACTAGCACAGGCATATTTTTTCATAAGGGTAGTTGGCTCTGGTCTCACTTGGCTGGTTTTGGGAGATGATTTGAGTTACGGTTTCATCTGCCAAGTCCCATATTCCCTTGTGACCTAGTTTGGATTTTAGTTTTCCAGCTAGACCACCTGCCTGGTGTTAATTAGTTATGGTTTCCTTTTCATATGCAAAACTGTTTTAACTTCATGAGCTGGCACAGGTTTACCTGGGCTTCCCTCCTAGTCCTACTGTACAAGCAGAACTGCCTGCCTAGACCTGTCACCTGCACTATAAAATCAGCCAGCCTCAATCAGACCTGACAAACTGTTCAAGGGGAATGGCTAGGAGAAGAGAAGCAGCAACTGAATTTCCCGCTTCCCATTTTGGAGGTCTACTTTTCTCTGGACTTAAAAATTCTTGTCTGACTGAGTTGCTGGTGGTTTTTCCTAAAGGTTCAAAGCAGGAGAGGTAAAATGTCTTCAATAAGTACTAGAAGTCCATGTGCCCACCTATTTATAGTCAAGATATACAACTCTGGCAGGGCTGTTTTTTCACACCCAGACTAATTACTGTGTTCTTGTTACTATATCAGGCTGGACTGATATCCTGTTACTATGATAGGTACTCCAAGTAACCTCTGAGCAACCTACCCGTCTGTTTCCCTTGCAAGCACGTGGTGCAGAAGTTGCACAGCACTGAGGCTGGCCACCATCCTGGTCCTCAGAGCAATGCCACACTAGCCTACAATATTCTGGTCTACCTCTGGTCTGAATAAACAGCCAGACTCTTCTTTGCTCCTTTTTTTTTGAAGAAGGTATTCCATCTGCAGTCCCTTCACAGCAGCTTTGCACTCTGGTCCTGACCAAGAGGCTTCCCCGTACACAATACAGATTATTTTTCCCTGAATTTTATTTCTCCCCTTCTGGGGACTCAAGATTAACAGTTCACTTTTCTGAGGTTTGTCATTGTTGATAAATGATGATAAAAGTGGAAAATAATGTTTATCTTTTCAAATCCTCTGTCAGCTTTCTCAGATGCCCTTCTAATCCATCCTAGCATGAGATGGCCACTTCTTGGCCTGAGCTGTATTGCTTAGTTACTGCAGTAAGTGCTTGGTTACCCTGATTCTGCTGGAGCTGTCACCACATCCAGATCTTGATGTGAATAAATAAACAACAAAGCTCTGTTATTTTCCTGGGAATCCCTTCGTGTCATGGCAATGTTTCTGTTAACGCTTCATAGCGTTATGAAACAGCAATGAAGACAACCAAGCCCAGCACTGAAAACAACATTTTCATTAGGATAGTTTGGTACAAAGGCTGTCCAACACCAAATGATGCCATCTCAAATACTGATGCTGAATATGTGATCCATATGTCTGTGGTGGGCAAAACCATGCAAAGCCATCTCTGTGGGTAGTCTGCCTACTTAAGTCTTGCTTCTGTCATTCAGTGTGTGTCATCTCTGCAAGATTTCAAGGCCCAGCAGCTTTTAAACACAGAGGTACTGTTAAGCTCCTCTAATATGAACAGAATTTCACTGAATTACTCCAGATCCATTATATCTAACTGAAACAGCATCTATTTTCCAGAAAGATACAAAAACCCTAATGTAGGGAGCTAAGGTAGGATTCTGTTTTAGCTGTGTAAAAATCAGGTACTTATTGCACAAAAACCTCAAGGTACTCAGAAGACTTTCATTTCAAGACCACTCTTTGAGGTGTCTTTTGTGTTTTGTCTCTCAAATGAAACCTAAGCTATGTTAGGTCAGAGATGTAGCTTTCAGATGGTGAAAATAAGGAATACAAACTTTCTTTTCATCAATGACAAATGCACCAACTTTTCTGTTTTATCATTAGGATGTGAATGGCACATGCAGGTTTTGATTCAGACATGTCAGCTGTCATCTATATGGTTTTTGTCCCTAAGCTGTGCTATTTTAAAGATGCTAAGTTGGATGACAACACTGGTGCTGTCATCAGTCTTCTGAGACAAGTGACATGAGGCACCAGCTGGTGCCTTTTCCTGTTTCAACACCATGTAGGTTAGATCAAGAGTAACTGTACAAATGGCCAGAAACCAAATATTTCATTGTGGGGAGAGAGAGTGGCTG